TCTACTAGAGCCAGGAAGGGGAGCAGAGAGGCCAGCCACAGAATCTGCTGGGAGATTAGGAATGTTTATTCTAAAAATCCTATGGGCAGAGGAGCCTGTCAGGCTACAGTCCATGGGGTCGCAGGAGTCAGACACAACTAAGCAGCTAAATCACCACCACAAGTCTCAAGAAAAGATCTAATGTGACTTTCAAAGGGACCAGCTATAGTGGGGAAAACATGGGCTTTGAATTCAGGCAGGTCTGTGTTAAAATCTAGACAGCACTACATAACAATTAGGTGAATAGTAAACAAGCTATTTCACCTCTGAGCTTCTGTTACTTTACCTATAAAATGGGTTAAAAAAATAATCACCTCGAGAGTTTCCCAGCACAGTGCCTGGCAGATATAGGCTGCTCATCAAATATTAGTTTTTCTTTCCATTTTCTTTCCTGTTGCCTAAATTTCTTTCTTTCCTGCTCCCAGACCTGATTCTCTGTCACAGTTTAATCACAAATAGGTTCTCTGATTTCATCCAGGCAGATCATGTTCTTGGTTTCTTAGTGGCACCTGAAAGAGGATTCTTTATCCTACACAAAGCTGGCTGAAAGCCTTACCTTTTCTATTTCCCCTTTGCCTAAACAAATATCTTGGTTATTACCACTCCAATGCCAGTAGAGACCAGACTCACCAATGCAAAAGTCACACTCCCAGGACATGCTTAGTTAGACCTACAAGGCTCCCACCTGGGCCCCTCAAAAAACATGATCGAATCAGAGTAAACAACATTTCTTCCTTCTTGGCAGGACTGAACGTTTTCTTTCTTTTTTCCTTCTACACGGCATGTGGAACTTCCTGGGCCAGGGATTGAACCCATGCCCCCTGAAGTGGGAGCACAGTCTTAACTCTTCAACTATCAGGGAAGTCCAGGACTATACCTTTTTTGATCATGATCTGTCCTGGGGAAAGTGAGGAGGATGGAGTGAAGAACACTAGCTGTCCACAAAATCCATTCTTTCTTCCACAGTAATTGAGGTTTGACTGGGACGTGACTGCCCAGACAGGAACATCACTTGCCAGCTCCCCTTGCAGCCAGTTTTGTCTATGTTACCGAACCCTTGTCAAGAGATGTGAGCAGATGGGATACGAGCAGCTTTGGCCTTGCTGGCTTAAGAGTAGATCTCTGGCCCTTGAATTCTGTTCTTTCTCTCTCCTCACTAACTGTAAGTGCGTCTACAGAGTAAACTTGGAAGCTACATGCTGAGAATGGCAGGCATCATCCCAAGTCCCTAAATGACCATAGTGAGGACAGCCATCCACCTACTTGGAATGCTGCCTTGGACCATACACACTAGAGCTTCTAATCAAATCCTGTCTCCAGGAAACCTCTCATGAATATGTCTCTCTCCCTCTTCTTGATCATCACATTTAATATCTTTTCCCTACATTTTCTGATACTTAACTCTATTGTTTCCCACTTGGTTCTTTTTGGTGTTATCCTGTTTTGTTCTTCATTCAGTGCGTGCTTCTTGGCTGTTAAACCAGAAGGAGATCCCAAGATGTGACTGTCTGCTTCTGCTTCCATTTCCCCACCAACACAGCTGCTGTGGATGCTGACGGAACCCCCATGCAGCGCCAGCTGCCATGAGTGTTGGCTGCCATCAGCTCAGAGCTGCCCTTTCTCCAGGGTTTGGGTCTCAGACAGATGTAAGCACCTGTGGGAGGTTACGTGCCCCCTCTAGCATCCAGCAGTCAATGATGAGTGACATGGGGTAGAAACAGTCACAAAAGATGAGACTGATCCTGTGATGAAAATTAAGCTTTGAACCTTCCTGAGGAACTAGGCTGTTGCAAATCTCCAACCAAGCCAACTGCTCTAGGCTGCAATTGCTCACAGGTACCACTCTTCTCCAGAGACCTGATCTCAGCTGATGGAACCTCCTTGTAACCCTCCTCTCATCCCCCTCCCCACCAGGGTGGCCCACAGCCAATGACTGACTGACATGAGGCATAACACCCCGCCCCTCTTGCCTCAAGTGGGTGTAATTCTGCCATGTGGTTTATGCTCCAGTTCCTGTGGATCAGGCCCGGGCTAGATGTGACCTGACACACACTGTGTTTGTCTTGTTCCCTTTCTTTTCTACTTCACTCTTTCCATTGCCTGTTTACCCCCAAAAGTGCTTCCGCAGAAAATGCTTGTCTCAGACTCTGCTTCTAGGGAACCCAACTTTAGTCTACTGGTGTCAATATTCTGCTGTCATCTTCCCAAATCATTTTCCCATTCATCTCTGGGGACTGTTCAGACCCATGCTCTGGGCTGGGTATGCTATGGTGCTGAAAATGGGCTGAGGGGCTGAATGAACAAATGGGCTCTATTGAAGTAGCTGTAATACCTACTACATAGGGATGTTCTGCATGCTGAGTCGCTAAATCATGACCAAATCTTTGTGATCCCATAGACTGTAGCCCACCAGGCTCCTCTGAACATGGGATTCTCCTGGCAAGAATACTGGAGTGGGTTGCCATTTCCCCTCCTCCAGGGGATCTTCCTGACTCACGGATCGAACACATGTTTCTTGCATCTCCTGCATTGGCAGGCAGATTCTTCACCACTGTGCCACCTGGGAAGCCCCACAAATATTATGAAGGTTTTAACAGCTAAATGAGTTAATGTCTTTAAAATGTTTAGGCCACAGCCAGTATCCTAAGTCCTAAGTTCTCTTAAGTATTAGGGCAGGGATTTCTTTGATCTTCGTTTCCTTATGCATTTCAAGTGTGCCTAGATGAGTCCATGGCACATAGTAGCCACTATGTGATTATCCAAGTTTTGCTTTGAAGGCTGGAGGTGATGTGCTGGGATCTGGCCAGCAGGGAGCAGAACGAGTACAGTCAAAAAGACCACATGGGCTGAAGGAGGTAGTGGGATAGCTAGTGAGAGAGAGCTGTGGGGAGGGCCAGGGTGTACCTACATCATAAAATATTAGAATGCTTAAATTATACCTCAAAGTCCTAGATTTCTAGGTTTACTCCAATCGTGGGTGTGCACAGTGAGGTTTATTGAGCTCCTACTTTGTAAATCCATACAATTAAGTAGTTCCAGGCCCCAAGATCCCTGGAATTGCCCTAGTGTCTATAGCTTCTCTTTTGAACTGATGACTACCTCATATTCCTCTCAGTAAATCCTCTATTGTGCTTATGCTAATGCACATTGGATTTCTGTAACTTGCATTCAAAAGCATTTGTATTAGTTTATTATTAAGCCCTGTGAGTTATAAGGACTGTGTGAAGGGGCATGTGTATGTGCTCAGTTGTGTCCAACTCTTTGCAACCCAATGGACTCAGCCTGTCAAGCTCCTCTGTCCATGGGATTTTCCAGGCAAGAGTACCAGAGTGGGTTGCCATTTCCTTCTCCAGGGGTGTGAAGGGGAGTCTCCCCCATCGATGGGGACACTGAACTCCCAATGCAGCCACTCTGGGCTGCTTCCTGCTCCATCCAACATCCATCTGACCTTGCTCTTTTCAGGGGGGTGGTCTCGCCACATTTCTGCCTCCAAGCTTCCTTGTTTTGTTCCTTTCATTCACTCTGTTCACTGAGATCTGTCCTGTTTCAAAGTCCAGTTCAAATCCTACCTTTCTGTGGCTCCTCTGCTGCTGCTGCTAAGTCACTTCAGTCGTGTCTGACTCTGTGCGACCCCATAGACGGCAGCCCACCAGGCTCCCCTGTCCCTGGGATTCTCCAGACAAGAACACTGGAGTGGGTTGCCATTTCCTTCTCCAATGCATGAAAGTGAAAAGTGAAAGTGAAGTCGCTCAGTC